CCCCAAAACCCCAAAACCCCAAAACCCCAAAACCCCAAAACCCCAATTTGGGTAATCCCAATTGTAATAAATATTAATGCTCAGAAAGATTATTTCCTTAACAATTGTATGACTGTGAGCTGTGTACTCATCAGCCGCTGTCATTGGAGTCGATCTCGGTGGCCAGTTCTTCAAGAGCACACTGGTGAAGCCAGGGTTCCCGTTCACCATCGTCGAGAACACTTCTTCAAAGCGCAAGACTCCAACAGCAGTTGCATTTACCAAAGAACAAAGAGTCTATGGTCTTGATGCCATCATGCAGAGCGGATCCAACCCAGTAAACACGCTCTTGTTTGTCAGAGACTTGCTCGGATTAGAGTACAACCAGCAGAACCTGGAGATGCTCAAACACAAATTCTACCACAACGAATTTGTCGCAGATGAGCGAGGATATATCGCATTCAAAGTTGAGCTGCCTGAAGCCGGAGAAGCAAAGAGCTACGTGTTTACAGTCGAAGAAGTATTGGCAATGATTCTGTCACACGCCAAGTATCTTGCAGAAGTCCAGTCTAATGGAGCTGTCAAGAATATTTACTTGACTGTGCCATCTTGGTTCTCAGTGAGCCAGAGGAGAATGCTTAACGATGCACTCGAAATGGCAGGACTTGAGAGCTCAGGTATGATTGAAGAAAATGTTGCTGCTTCAATTGCTTACGGAGTCAGCAGACTCGACGAGAACTCAACACACACCGTCCTGTTTCTGAACCTCGGAAGCTCAGACTTCGAAGCCACTGTAGTCGACTTCTTTGCAAGAGCCGAAAATGTCACTGATAGAAGAGGCAACATCAAGAAAGGTGAAGTAGTCGAGAATGTCGAAGTTCGGTCTCAGTCACACTCAGAACAAGTCAGTGGACGAGCCTTTGACATTGAGATCCTGAACATCCTGGCTGATCACTTCAACCAAATGGAGTCAAGACAAGGCAAACAAGACATCAGAGAAATGCCCAGAGTAGTCAACAGGCTGTTCAAAGAAATTCCCAAAATCAAAGAAACGCTGTCTGCAAACAAAGAAAAGATAGTGAACATCCAAGAAGTAGCCGACTACGAGAACCTCAAGATGACCATCACTCGGGCCCAGTTCGAACAGAGCATTTCGAAGTATCTGGAGGCCCTGCGGACAGCTATTTCTCAAGCCATCGACAAAGCCGGGGTTGCTCTTGAACACATTGACGCTGTCGAAATCATTGGAGGGGCACTCCGAGTTCCAAAAGTCAAGGAAGTACTTCAAGAACAAATCGGAGACATCGAACTTGGGTCACATCTGAACGGAGATGAAGCCATGAGCTTTGGAGCTGCATTTATCGGCGCCAACTCATCGTCGAGTTTCAAAGCCAGAAAGATATTTTTGCACCCGCTGTTCGAGAATGACATTTTTGTGAACTTCACATCGATAGACTGAGACCCTGAGGAAGAAGAGTGAGTCCACAAGCGCTTCTTGCTGTACAACGGAACTGGAAGTCCAAAGAAGAAGTTTGCAGTGAGCACTTTGCATGACATGCTTGTGGAGTTTTACACTGAAGAGGAAGGAGTATTGCACAGAGTCACTCTGAACGGAGTCCCAGATATTCTAGAATCTGAAGAATATACCAAGAATGGTACAACCCCAAAAGTATATTTGGAAGCTCAATATCACGAAAATGGTTATGTATCTGTCACTAAGGCCTATGCAAAGGTAATTCAATCTTACATGAGAGAAGTGGAGAAAAGAGTATTAATACCAACGAATACTACTGAGAGCGCATCTGATAACAGCACTGATACTTCTTCAAATAATTCAAATATTAATGAAAATAATGAAACTTCAGAAGAAGAAAAATCTCCAGAAGAGAATGAAACAGAAACTCCCACTGAAGAGCCTACAAAAGAAGCCACAGAAGAAGACAAAGAAGAGGATACAGAAGCAGGAGATAGTGAAGATGATGATTACGAAAAGGAAGATTCCGACGATGACAGCGAGGAAACTACTAAAAAGGATACTCCAAAGCCTCCTCAATATATGACAGTAATTGAACACGTGGTTAAAAACAAAACACATTCTAAGATAATTACTTTTGAGGAAGAATTTATTGGTCTCCAACCAATGACTTCAGAGATGAAGATCAATGCTATAGCTCAGATGGCTGACTTAAATAGAAGGGATAAGCTAATTCTAGATACTATGGAAGCAAAGAACGAGTATGAAGCTTTGATCTACTCAACAAGAGATTGGATTTCAGATGAAGATAATCAAGTCTACTCTCTTCCAGAAATTACTGAAGAACTTCAAAAGAATCTAACTGAGGGAGAAGATTGGCTTTATGAAGATGGATATGATGAAACTTACCAAGTGTATAAGGACAGAATTAATGAGCTCAACTCAACTATTTCTAAAATGAAGTATAGACAAACAGAACATCTCTTGAGAGAAGACATTCTTGATGATACAAAAGAACTTATTAAGAACTTTACAGCACAAATTGACTTCTTTGCAAAGCAATTGCCTTGGATTGAAAAATCCAAAATTCAAAAATTAAGAGATCTAGCAGCAAATGCAACAGAATGGTTTAACGATGCTCTTGAGAAACAAGAAGGACTTGAGCTCCACGAAGACCCTGTTTTAACTTCTGAGGGATTAAGGAATAAAGTAGTCTATGTTAGTTATGCAATGGAACAACTGAGCAGAACTCCTAAACCAAAAGGTTGGGACAAAAAGGTAGAAGCAGCAAAGAATGCCACTATGTCCGAAAATAATTCTACAGAGACTTACAATAATACCACGGATACAGAATCAAGTGAGAAAGCAAGTGATGATTCTGAAGATAGTTCTTCTACTGATGAGCCTTCGAATGAGCAAAATGAAGAAGATAACCAGACTAATGAGGAGACTGAAGAAGTGAATGACGATTTGTAAATAATCAATTAGTTCAAAAATAAGAAGATTAAGAGGGGTTTTGGGGTTTTGGGGTTTTGGGGTTTTGGGGTTTTGGGGTTTTGGGG